TCTCCAGTACTTGGCTGAAAGGGTCTCTATTTTTTTTTTTGTTGAATGCTACATAAGTTAGTGATCATGATGGTTCAGTCCTTGTCAAAAGAGAAGTTGAGACAACACAAAGAGGAGGAGAAAGGGAGAAGGTACCCAAGACAGCTCCTCATGCTTGGATTGTAAATAAAGAACTTAGTTGAGTGTGTTACGACTAAACACAACCCCTGTTTCCCATTCACCAACAGTGTCACTGCACTCCTTAACCTCCTGATTATCATACAGCATCATATTGTCGTCTTCGCTATAATGCAAAAATAAAAGCAAACATAAAATAAGCAGTACAAACCACATTTGTCAATAATATCATGCCACACAACAAGACAAAAGTTGTCTAATCACCCAGTGTGCATTCTTTAATACCTATTCTTTTTTTCCTGTGCAGTGCAGCCCTCACAGCTGCAGCATGCCTGGAGGTAGGTTACTGACTAGGAGGAGACAGGTAGCCTCAAAGGATGACCGTGGGCAGCTCTGGGTCTAGGTCTGACTTTGGATTGCACTACGTTGGTGTGGGTAGCAGCAATCTGGGCAGGCAGGTAAAAGCAAGGACACACAGACCATCCTGAGAGATGTCAGCAAGCTCCATGGAACCACTACCACATCTGCTGAACAGTGCCTCAGCAATCCGAGTAATCTGCTGGAGGCCAGAGGAACCCTGCGAATTATGTTGGCAGAAGTCAGAACATGCAGGACTGTAAATTGACAATTCATGTCTTTACAAGAAGGGTTTAGAGGGATATGCTGGCAAATGGAACTAGATTAATTTAGGATATCTGGTCGGCAAGAATGAGTTGAACTGAAGATCTATTTCTCTGCTGTACAACTCTATGACTCTGTGACTTCAGTCTGGGGGTCTAGTGCAGCATGTTGATTTTTTTTTTGTGGAAATTACAGTACAGTCATCCGAAGTTGCATCATAGTTCGGGGCCACAATTGTATTGAAGAGTTGATCAGTGCTTCCATTCTAGAAGGAATGGTCTCCAAGTTCTGCACAAATCCCTATGCTAGGCTGGAATCCGATATCTCCGTTCTCCTTAACGTTGGCCATCACCCTCATAGCAGGCATTTCAATACACTAAGCATTTCAATGTATACAGCTACCATCCTTTGCCTGGTTCATTGAATTTCTCATTATATTGTACAGGCACCCTGAAGATGGCGTGCCATCTCCATGACATTGAATCGATGTGGGTAATCAATATCCTTTAAATTCCATGGAGTTTAATCTGCATACTTAACTTTATCAGGTGACCGGATGACAGTTCATAGGTTCTGCCACATTGTAGGTATCTATGCTATCTGGTACTTTATTTTCCAGCATACACATGAGTGCCATCAGTAACATTCCTTGAGTGTCTAAAAGCCACTAGTTGGTTGTATTTCAAAAGACCATTCATGTTGTGTTTGGAAGTTGGTTGATGTCCTTAGTTCAGCTCAGGAATCTTCCTGGAAGACTGCTTCAACCTTGTTCATTTTTATCAGTTGGATTTTTTTTAATCACCCAGTTTAGATGCATTACGACGCAACACCATGGTCGTCACATTCTGTGGTGCAACCTGAATCGAGACCTTCTAGCCCAGAGGTAGGGACACTACCACTCTGGTGCAAGATGCTAATTTGCATTCAAGCCATGGCCATTACTAGGGTATCACCTGTGTCCCTGCATATAGGAGCAGGGTGAAACTGTGCTAGTTGGATTGGCATTATGTGGTACGTAATGGGTTTCTCTAAGTAGAAGTTTATAAGTGTATTAAGACGAGGCTGCAATTCTAACTTTCACCACTTGGCTGTCTGATTGATTGATTGATTTCTAACAAATCTGACTGACAAACTTTGTCAAAGTTGCTTCTCACCACCTCTGAAGAGCTGCTAATTGAGGCTGTCTTCATGTTTCTACTTGATGCGTCCGCCATGGCTCAGTGGGTGGCCCTTGTATCTGGGTCAGAAGGTTAGGTCCCATTCGAGAAACCTCGGAGCAAAATCTTGATTGTCACTTGAGTGCAATTCTTGAGTACCACCCTGTTGGAGGTGCCAAACATTGGATGAGATGCTGAATTGAGAGTCCAACTACACACTAACTTCTATGAAAAAGATTCTGTGATGCTTTTGACAGGGAGGTTCTCCCAAGTGTCCTCAATCAATTTAAAAAAAAAAAAAAATCCAGATAATTTGATCGTTATGTGCAAGTTGCATGAGCTTGCAGTTTACAATTGGCACCTGCATTTCCCTTATTATAACATTGGCCACACTTTAGAAGTACTTAATTGGATGTAAAGGCTTGAGCCATCTTCAGGTTGTGAAAACCATTACTAGAAATACAGATTGACAAATATGTTTACACTAGGTACTTTGTCCAAACCATAATGGCTACTGAAAGTCTTTTGTGGAACATGGAAGCTTTTGAGTGATCCACTTAAAAGACAACCTTCATTCATTGAATCGAAGTACTCTCCACACATCAAGATTTCATCGAGTGACACTGTCACACTTCTAGGGAATACTTAAGATACTTTTTATTCAACCTGGTATAGCAACACAGGGAACGTGTTCAATACAAGCTTCCAGATTTCAAAACATCACATGAAGTCTATTGTTGCATATTACCCCTTTTAAACCGATGCAGTTGTCATTCTGATTTAGTTGTAACCTCAATGAAAAAGCAAAATACTGCGGATGCTGGAAATCTGAAATAAAATGAAACACTTGCAATCTTAAAGTTTGGCAATATCTGTGGAGAGAGAAATTGAGTGGTGTTTTGGGTAGATGAACTTTCATCAGAGTATTGCCTATGATAACGTATTTGGCCGTGAGCTAAGATTACAAATTCTGTCCCATCATAGCGATAGTTTAGTTAACCGAGGCTGCATTGCAGTGTAATACATGATGGTATCATCCATGGCTCAATTGGTACCACTTGCCTCTGAGTCACAAGGTTCTGGGTACAAGGATTAAGTACATTTCGGAAGAACTAATGCAGGAAGAAAGTATATAGTAAACCCTTCGTGGGTGGCAAAACCCTTAGTGGCAGCAACATACAGAGGGATCTAGGTTGTTAGGTCCATAGTTCCCAGAAAGTGGCAATGTAGGTTGTTGAGATGGTCAAGAAGATGTATAGCACCTTCATTGGTTGGGGCATAGAGTATAAACATTGGCAAGTCTGTTGCAACCGTATAGAACTTTAGTTAGGCCACATTTGGAATATTGTGTACAGTCTGGTTGATACACCACCAGAAGAGTGTGGAGGTTTTGGAGAGGGTAGAGAACTGCTTTATCGGGATGTTGCCTAGTTTGGAGGGTATTAACTATTAGGAGAGATTGAATAAACTTGATTTGTTTTTGCTTGAACATTGAAGGATGAGGTCGAAAATAGAAGTTGCTGGAAAAGCTCAGTAGGTCTCACAGCATCTGTGAAGAGAAATCAGAGTTATTGTTTTGGATCGAGTGACCCTCCCTCAGAACACTTCCTCAAGGATGAGATTGACCTGATAGAAGTTTACAAAATTGTGAGAGGCAGGTATAAAATGGAGAGTTGGACTTTTTTTCCCCCAGGGTAGAAATGTCAATTACTAGGGGACACAGGTTTAAGGTAAAAAGGAGTAAGTTTTTTTTTTAAACACAGAGCGGTAAGTTCCTGAAATGCGCTGCCAGAAGAGGTGGTGGGCGTGGATACAGTTGCAACGTTTAGGAGGCATCATGACAGATACATGATTAGGAAACGAATAGAGGGATACGGACTTAAGAACATAGAACATAGAACATTACAGCGCAGTACAGGCCCTTCGGCCCTCGATGTTTCACCGACCTGTGAAACCAATCTGAAGCCCATCTAACCTAAACTATTCCATTATCATCCATATGTTTATCCAATGACCATTTAAATGCCCTTAAAGTGGGCGAGTCTACTATTTTTGCAGGCAGGGCATTCCACGCCCTTACTACTCTCTGAGTAAAGAACCTACCTCTGACATCTGTCCTATATCTATCACCCCTCAATTTAAAGCTATGTCCCCTCGTGCTAGCCATCACCATCCGAGGAAAAAGGCTCCCACTGTCCACCCTATCTAATCCTCTGATCATCTTGTATGTCTCTATGAAGTCACCTCTTAACCTTCTTCTCTCTAACGAAAACAGCCTCAAGACCCTCAGCCTTTCCTCATAAGACCTTCCCTCCATACCAGGCAACATCCTGGTAAATCTCCTCTGCACCCTTTCCAATGCTTCCACATCCTTCCTATAATGCGATGACCAGAACTGTACGCAATACTCCAAGTGCGGCCGCACCAGAGTTTTGTACAGCTGCAACATGACCTCATGGCTCCGAAATTCGATCCCTCTACCGATAAAACCTAACATACTGTACGCCTTCTTAACAACGCTATCAACCTGGGTGGCAACTTTCAGTGATCTATGCACATGGACACCGAGATCTTTCTGCTCATCCACACTACCAAGAATCTTACCATTAGCCCAGTACTCTGTATTCCTGTTACTCCTTCCAAAGTGAATCACCTCACACTTTTCCGCATTAAACTCCATTTGCCACCTCTCAGCCCAGCTCTGCAGCTTATCTATGTCCCTCTGTAACCTGCAACATCCTTCTGCACTATCCACAACTCCACCGACTTTGGTGTCATCAGCAAATTTACTAACCCATCCTTCTACGCCCTCATCCAGGTCATTTATAAAAATGACAAACAGCAGTGGCCCCAAAACAGATCCTTGAGGTACACCACTAGTAACTGACTTAAGAGGCAAAAGGTTTTTAGTTTAGCAAGGCATCATGTGCATTTGGAAGGCATTGGTGCAGTCTTGGTGGGCTAAAAAGTCTGTTCCTAGGCTGTGCTGTTCTTTGTACATAATCAAAGCTGACGCTCCTTGAGTATAGAGGAAACAATGCACTGTTGGAAGCTTGTCGTCTTTTTGGATGTGACTTTAAACCTAGGCCCTAATTTGCTCTTCAGGTGATGGCAGCTTTGAAGAACAGCAGAGGAGTTATCCCTGATGTCCCAGCCAAAGTTAACCCTCGATCATCATCACAAAAACAATTGGTTTATTATCACATTTGCAGTTTATAAAGGTTGGTTGTTTGCATTTTTGACTGCCATGTTTCCTACTTTACCACAGTGACTACACTTCCAAAGTGCATTATTGGCTGTAAAGCACTTTTGAGATGTCTAGTGGTTGTGAAAAGTACCATGTGATTGCAAGTCTTTTTTGAGGGAGTGCTTTACTGTTGTGAAACCTTACTGTTTGCAGATTGATAACAGTGTTTACCTCTGCAATAATAGTGTAGCTTCTGCAAATATTCAGCAGAAATAAGGAGACAGATGAAGGGCTGTAATGCTAGTCTGTAACAGTGTTGTACTTAGCCACCAAGAGTTAGGTGGTATGTTTAAGTGCAAGCTTCCTGTTACTTAGATCATGGTTTCCTTATTTGGATGAGTATGGTCTAATCCTAATTGGGTGACTGGATGGAGTGAGGTGATCTACATTGTTATTGGCCATCTCAAGTTGTTTGAGTCATACTTCCTGCTGGCTGATTATGAAACACATTGACAGCTGTTGTCAAAGTTTCTCAGCGTTTGCCATACTTCTCAGCCAAAGCATAAAGCATGGTGATGAGTGGTTTATAACGGGAAGGAAATAGGTAAACTGCTCAAAGTAAAAATTGCTTAAAAAGCATTTAAAATATTTAAACAAACTGCAGGTGAAACTGATTCTACAACCTTATTGTCATAAACATCAGCACCAAATCCTTATAAAGAGATCTCAGTTTTATTTAGTTAACCCTGCCATTAAACTAACAGTGCATGAAAATTTATGTAGCACATTAAGCACTTGTTAACAGTAATTTATATTCAATAGGATATGCCTCCACGACAGAGCTAGAATCTTCTTTGATTATCAAATTCCAAACAGTATGAGGGGAAAATATTGACCACAAGCATCAGTAGGTTTAAGGCAGTTGCCTTATTGGCTCATTCCAAGAGCAGTGCACACTGACGCACACAGATAACGTTTCTGGTTCAAACATGTCCATTCAGTTAGCAGTTAGGAAGGTAAACGTAATGTTAGCATTCATTTTGAGAGGGCTAGAATACAGGAGTAGGGATGTGCTGCGTAAGGCACTGGTAAGTCTGTGTTTGGAATATTTGTGAGCAGTTCTGAGCCCCAAATCTAAGGATGGATGTGCTGGCATTAAAAGGGGTCCAGAGGAGGTTGACGAATGATCCCGAGAATGAAGGGTTGTCATGTGAGGAGTGGTTGAGGACTCTGGGTCTGTACTGATTGGAGTTTTGAAGGATGAGGGAGGATCTGATTGAAACTTAAAGAATACCGAGAGGCTTGGATAGAGTGGACAGAGCAATGATGTTTCCACTAGTAGGTAAGAACAGGACCGAAGTGTACAGTGGCAGTATGAAGGGACGACTGTTTAGAACTAAGATGATGAGGAGGAATTTCTTCAGTGGAGGGTGGTGAATCTGTGGAACTTGTTGCTGCAGAGGTCTGTTGAAGCCAGGTCATTGAGTGTATTTAAGACAGATTCTTGATTGGTGTGGTTGTGGGGAAAAGGCAGGAGAATGGGGTTGAGAAATATATCAGTTATGATCGAATGGTGAAACAGACTCAATGGGCCAAATGGCTTAATTCTGCTCCTCTATCTTGTGGTATTCTGGTCTAAATATGTGCCTCTGAGTTAGTAAATTGCTGGTTTTGAAGGGAGGTTTAAATAATTGGCCTCAGGGCCTGGGGAGCTGAAAAATCAGTCAGATCTTGATGCTGTGCTGGCATATGTGATGGGCATTGGATTAGGGTAGCATCAGTTTCAACTATGATGCCAAAGGACACTGCTATGAATTAGTTATTGTACAGGAGAGCATCTGATGGCTGCAGAAATAAATACCATGAAGGAATCTGTGTCTTTGGGAAAATATTGAATTATATAGGGAGCAGGAGGATAATATTGGCAAGATTAATCCACAATGAATTACATGGTGGCTGAAATGTCCATCAGCAAAATCTTCAAATGTGGAAGCATCACAGCTGGCTGATTCAGTATTATCTTTGATGCACTTTCAAACCAGAGTGACTGAATATTGGTCAAGACAGGAATCTTTTCTCCCCACTTGAATCCAAGCATTCTTGTCAGCTGTAGCATTACAGAATAGCCTTAGCAAAGATCAGCTAACTTCAGCAAGTCCTATGATTGAAACAGGAGCTTCCTGTTCCTTAGGGCTCTGCAAGGTGTAACTACACAATAATTTGTCTGAGAATCACCCAATTTAATTTAATAGAAGAGAAAATTCTACTTGGAAGGTACTACTGTACGCTCTAATAGAGATGCTGCAACTTCTTTTCAGTCATTCTGTGAATGAAAAATAGTCCTGAAGGCTTTGGGTAATTGAGTACTGTTTGCATCAAAATATTGTGAATAATTTGAATTAAACAATGAATCTAGTATTGAAGTTATGTCATTTAGAAGTGCATAGCTTCTTGAAAGTCGAGTCGCAGGTAGATGGGGTGGTGAAGAAGGCATTTGGCACATTTATCTTCATTGGTCAGAATATTGATTATAGGAATTGGGATGTCATGTTGCAGCTGTACAAGACATTGGGGAGGCCACTTTTAGAATACTGTGTACAATTCTGGTCGCCCTCCTATAGGAAGGATGTTGTTAAACTTGAGAGGGAGCAAGTAAATTACAAGGATGTTGCCAGGACTGGAGTTTGAGTTATAGGAGGAGGCTGAATAGGCTGTGGCTTTTTTTTTCCAGGAGTGTTGGAGGCTCGGATGACTTTATAAATGTTTATAAAATCATGAGGAGCATAGATAGGATGAATAGCCAACGTCTTTTTCCTAGGGTGGGAGAGTGCAGAACTAGAGGGCATAGGTTTAAGGTGAGAAGGAAAAGATTTAAAAAGGATCTGAGGGGTAACTTTTTCATGCAGAGGATGGTGCATATATCGACAGAGCTGCCAAAGGAAATGGTGGAGGCAGGTACAGTTAAAACATTTGAAAGACACCTGGATGTGGACATGAATAGGAAGGGTTTAGAGGGATATGGGCCAAACGCTGGCAAATGGGACTAGACCAATTTGGAATGTATGGTCATTGCGGATTAGTGGACTGAAGGGTCTGCTTCTGTGCTGAATGACTCTATGGCCTGTGAACTGTCAGTAGATGTTGGAAATCTACCTATTTATTTGAAGATGTCCTAATTCGCATCTAAAAATATATCTAGTCGGAGGGTTGTAAATCTTTGGAATGCTCTAGCCAAGAGAGCTGGGGATGCTCAGTCATTGAAAATTCTCAAAACTGAATTCAATAGATTTTTAGATGATACAGGAATCAAGTGATATAGGGATATGGCAAGCATATGGAGTTGAAAGATGAGCAGTTATGATCTTGATAAATGGCAGAGCAGGTTCCAGAGTTAGAGATAGTAGGAACTGCAGATGCTGGAGAATCCGAGACAACAAGGTGCAGGTCTGGATGAACACAGCAGGCCAAGCAGCATCATAGGAGCTCCTATGATGCTGCTTGGCCTGCTGTGTTCATCCAGCCCTGCACTTTGTTGTCTTAGGTTCCAGAGTTGATGGCATATGTTTGAGCCTATATTTTGATTTTGTGTGTATTTGGACTGATGTAAGTTGATGCACATTTTAGGCCTGTCTCTCCTTTGTGTTTGCACAAAGGAATTTATATTTTAAAAATGAAAATCTCTAAATTTATCAGACGGTAGTTACAACTTTCAGCCAGTGGTGGCGCAGTAGGGGTCCAATGAGGAAGAGTGTGATTTGATCCTGAGATTTACAAATTTCCATCATGTGCAAATAACCACTTAAGATAGAAAAATAAGCTGGGAAATGTGAGCAACATGGAAGCTTTTGACATAGATATTGCAAACTCGGTCTCAAAAATAATTGCTGAAATTGGAATTATAGAATGATAAAGCATAAGAGGTGTGCAATTAATCTCACCCCCGCACCTTCTGAATGGCCTTGCAGTTTTCTTTCAAGGATATATCCAAGTCACTTTAGACTATTCCTATTGAATCTATTTACACTCCCTCTTTTACAAGCAATGGTTTCCAGATCATAACTTGCTGCAAAAAAGGAAATGTTTCTTTGTGTTCCCTATGATTCCTTTACAAATCACCCTAAATCTTTGTCCTTTGGTTTACAGAATGGAAGAAGGCTACTTAATCCATCAAATACGCACTAGCCCTTTTGAATAGCAGTTAATTACACTCACTTCATGCCTTTTATGCTATGTTCCTGCCATTTTTTGTCCAAGCATTTATTCAATCCCTATTTGAATGTTTCCATTAGATCTGCATCAGTGTCAAGCAGTCTACTCCAAATCCAACCATTCCACGCAAAATAAAACGTTTATTCTTGTGTCAAGCCTTTTGTCTTTTTTTTTCAAATTCGTTCACGGAATTTGCTCCTTTTGCTGGCTGGCCAGCATTTATTGCCTATCCCCAATTGCCCCTTAGGGTGACGATGAGCTGCTTCCTTGAACTTGAGATACCTGCAGTGCTGTTAGGCTAAAACTGAGGATTTTATGAGGGAGATAGTAGGAACTGCAGATGCTGGTGAATCCGAGACAACAAGGTGCAGGGCTGGATGAACACAGCAGGCCAAGCAGCATCATAGGAGCAGAGAGGCTGACGTTTCGGGCCTAGACCCTTCATCAGAAAAGGGGGGCGGTGGGGAAAGGGGACTCTGAAATAAATAGGGAGAGAGTGGGAGGCGGATAGAAGATGGATAGAGGAGAGGATAGGTGGAGAGAAAACAAACAGGTTGAAGAGGCGGGGATGGGGCCAGTAAAGGTGAGTGTAGGTGGGGAGTTAGGGAGGGGATAGGTCAGTCCAGGGAGGACGGACAGGTCAAGGGGGCGGGATGAGGTTAGTCGGTAGGAGATGAGGTGCGGCTTGAGGTGGGAGGAGGGGATAGGTGGGAGGAAGAACAGGTTAGGGAGGCAGGGACGAGCTGGACTGGTTTTGGGATGCGGTAGAGGGAGGGGATAATTTGAAACTTGTGAAATCCACATTGACACCATTGGGCTGCAGGGTTCCCAAGCGGAATATGAGTTGCTGTTCCTGCAACCTTCGGGTGGCATTGTTGTGGCACTGCAGGAGGCGTTATGAGGGACAACAAGGTGCAGGGCTGGATGAACACAGCAGGCCAAGCAGCATCATAGGAGCAGAGAGGCTCCGGAGGGAGGAGGGTAACTTCTTCAGGTTAGGCATCCTTAGAAGAGGCTTCGCAGTGGGGTTAAAATTGAATCAGAGATAGTAGGAACTGCAGATGCTGGAGAATCCGAGACAACAAGGTGCAGGGCTGGATGAACGCAGCAGGCCAAGCAGCATCATAGGAGCAGACAGCATTATGAGGGAGATGCGTTTGAGGGGGAAGGTAGTGATTACCGGGGTTTTTCCCCTCATTTTCCAAAGACGGAAATATGTGGTTTGGTACGAGTTCTGTGCTTCCTCCCTCCTGAGGTCTTTTTACCAGAGTGCCCGTGGAGGAGAAACACAAGAATGAGCAGGCTGAGTTTTGACTGGCTTCTATTAAAGCCAGTGTGGGTGGCTCCAGTCTGCTGATGTCACCGATGGAAGCCAGGCAAAAGCTTCAAAGAGCTTCATTGTTGGATGTGGAACGTAAGCAAGTCTCTCAGTGCTGGGGGAGGGAGGAAACTGTGTTCAGAGAGCTCCGGAAAAGCAGGCTCATATGTCTTGCCCAGGCTCTCCACTGCTTCGAACAGCTAATTCTCCCAAAAAAGTTAAGTTGGGTTTGAGCAACAGTTACGAAAAGAAAAATGGGTGAGCTACATGTTCGCTAAATTTCAGGTCCGACTGCAAACAAGAAAAAAGTTTTTTTTTTTTTCCCCCCTCCACCCCCCTGTTAAATCAAATTCCTAACTTAACCGCTCCATCCCCTTTCTGCTTCTGGATGTGAATTCTGAAGGGGGAGGGGGGGGTTTGGAGTTGGAATTAGTTTAACCAAACGAAAAAGACTACTAAGCAAGAAAGAGAGGAAACCAAAAGAAAGGAATCACTTCGAATTGAAGTTAAACAAATGAAAATGCTGGAGATTTGCCGTAAACTGGTGGGGTGTAAATCAAGAAAGACTCTCTCTGCTTCATCCAGCTGCTACCTGGAAGGTAAGGCTTGATGTGCTTTGGGAAAGGACGCGCGTTGAGAGAGGCCCCGAAATGAATTCCTTAGTTGTGGAAAAAAAACCTTTACAGAGGCCTCTTCTCTCCTGCGGCTGCGGGGAGTGAGGGAGATAGCAGCTTGCGTAGTCACAGACGTAAACAGCGGAATTTTGGAAGACATTTTGCTCTTTGCCAGAGTTGCAAATTCTGATATTCGTGTTTCCACCCCCTACCCACGTGTAAGATTTATTAATTGAAATGGGTGCATTTGGCCCCAATGTGCTTTCTTACCAATTACTCAACACATTATAAAATGGACGTTTTCATATGGCCAAAGGCCACTGGGCGCAAAATGTTAGTCTGCCAAAGAAGCTTTGAAGCATGTTTTTCTGTGTAGCAATTACTCCTCATGACTTTTTGCACATCAAAAATCTATCGACCTTTCAGGCATCCACACTATTAGGGCTGTAGCATTTGAAATACAGTTGGAATGTTCTGTAATCATTGGTTTCCAATTGCATAATAAATACAGATGAGCAAATGTAGTCATCACTAAAAGACCAGTGCAGTTCCTCTTGACGGAATGAACAGAGATCATAGCATGGCTTTCATGGAACATGCCAGTTCCTAAACTGGCATTGGCAGGGGAATTGAGTTTAAGAGCCACGAGGTTATGCTGCAGCTCTATAAAACCCAGGTTAGACCACATTTGGAATATTGTGTTCAGTTCTGGTCGCCTCATTATAGGAAGGATGTGGAAGTTTTAGAGAGAGTGCAGAGGAGCTTTACCAGGATGCTGAGATAGTAGGAACTGCAGATGCTGGAAAATCTGAGATAACAAGGTGTAGAGCAGGATGAACACAGATGAAGGGTCTAGGCCCGAAACGTCAGCCTTCCTGCTCCTATGATGCTGCTTGGCCTGCTGTGTTCATCCAGCTCTACACCTTGTTATCTCTCTTTTACCAGGATGCTGCCTGGACTGGAGGACAGGTCTTATGAGGAAAGGTTGAGGGAGCTAGGGCTTTTCTCTTTGGAGGTACAGCTATGCATATTAGTTAGTGACAGGATCAGACTTGGCTAAGGCAACACCCAATCTTCTCCCTTCTTCCCCAGTCCATTCTGGTTAGATGCAAACTAACTTTTTGTAGGTGAAGGGTTAATTGCAAGACTCAACTTCTATAAATATATTAGCCCAGTTTTACTGATTACTATAATAAGCACAATATACTGTGAATGGAGCAAACGTGACAAATGGAATTCACAGGGCTGTAAGTGTACTTTGATTGACTGCAACATCAATAAAACCCAAGGCCTGGTGATTCGTCCCAGATTGTTGGGGAAATAACCTGCCTGTCAAGATAGCAGGTGAATGTTACTCATCCACTTGAGACATCTAACTGCCTTGCAAATGCCTGAGGGTAAATATAGTTTGCCTCTCTGCATAGACAGAGAGGAACCTGCTAATGATTGCAAATACAGATTCTGATCAAAGTAGTGTTAGGTCAGTGATTACTTGGTTTGATAAGGTTGAAATGCTGGGAATCCATCTGACAGATGATGTAACACAGTGATAGATGATCTCTCTCTGAATAAATATTAAGACAAAACACATTTATAACAAGACAGCAAACACTTTATGCCTAAGCTGCTGCTTAATTCAGAGAACTTAATTTTTTGCGATTAACATGTGCAAGCAGATGACTGTTTACTGAGTAAATGGCTTTTTCTACAATGCTTATCAGTTGAATTTGTTGTTTTAGTTGTCAGCCAGTGGTTTCCATATGTTGTGCGGTTGATAAAGTGGCCTAAAATTTCCAGGCCTTCTAAAATTTACCACAGTTTGAAGGAACTCAGTTGACACTGAGAAACTGGAACAATCTAAAGGAAAATGGTTCTGTGATTATAGCAAATATAATTTACAAACAGGTAGCAACAGAAGCAATGTTAAGTTGAGGAAAATGCTGAAATTTGCTGTCCTTGGGGTCTTGTCAATCCTAGTTTAAAAAGCAGTGTTGTAAAAACTATTGATGTGTGTTTAATGCAAACTATTTTGTGAAGTGTAATCTGAAACCCAGTTGCACATCACATCTAAGTATGCTTTATGTGAATATTTTTCTAATCGTGGATTTTGACCTTTTTGTCAGAATCTCTATTTAGGTCAGGAATGTGAGTTCACTTCAGAGACATAAGCACAAATCCATAGCACTGTCAATGAAATATTGAAGGTGTGCTGCACTGTCTGAGGTGCTATGTTTCAAATGACTTGTTCAACCAAGACCCTGTCTGCCGCCTCAATTGGACGTCAAAGATCCCATGGCATTTTGCTATTTTGGGGATTTCTCTTTGTTCTTCTAACTAGTAGTTATCCCTTAAATAACACGAATAAAAAAAATGATCTGGTTATTACTTTGTTGCTGTATATGAGCTGCTACATTTCTTACATTACAGCAATGACTGCATTTCAACTGTAAAGTGCTATGGGGTAAATGTAGCTATATTTTCCTTGCCTATAACGCACCCATTTCAGGGGGATACAAATTCCACTCTGCACCAGAGAAGATGTAAGGCCTGCTGACAGTGTTGAAAATGGTTGGCTGCACAATGAGCTCAAACTGAACTTGAAGAGTTAATCTCTTAATGTCCTTCCTCAGGCTCAGGGTGGTTAATTGAGAAAGTGGGCCTAGATTAAATAAGAAACTATGCTACATTTGGCAAAGTTGACTATTCTTACTGAGAGGAAGTTTGCTTGTTTAAAGGGTGTCGGGTGTCAGCAGTAAAATTTATGGTGTGCGTGGACGCTCTCTAGAATACAAATGAAGATACGTTTGTTTAGTCCCTTATCATGTTATGTAACATACCTGTCTGACTCTTCATGTGCAGAAAGATGTTCCCAAGCACATTACGGGGGCCAAAAAAACATTGATACCAAGTGGCCAAAAGGCAACCAGAAAAGATGGATAGTGTGGAACAAATACATGGTTAGAAAAAGAGGCTGTTGAGATGATGAGAGGAAGTTCTCAGCAGTAAGTTTGAGATAGTTTTTAGTATCTCTAGAAGAGTTTCAGAGAGCAATTTATAGGAATTTAGAGTAGGTTGTTGGGATTTAGAAGAGATTCCTAATGCACGATGGAGAGTTATAGGAGCAGCCAATAATGATAGAGTATATTGAAGCACATTATGCTGTGAAGTATTTTGGAGTATATTGCTGGGAGAAGTGTTTTGGAAGGCATTTATTACC